CTTTGCGAACTTGTTCTATAGCACTTTTAAACATCTCTCTTCTCTGTTGTTTCAGTGTGTCGTCTCTTCTTCTTGTTTCACCAACGTTTGCATTTGTTATGTCAAACATTTCTTGACGAACATCATGCGAAAGAGCTTTACGAGTATGACCAACGTTCGCATTTGTTATGTCAAACATTTCTCTTCTTACTTCATGAGGTACTGAACGTCTATGATATAAGTCAATAGCAATGTCATTTAAAGGAAATGCTCTTGCATGGACTTCGTCCTCGCCGCGTTGCGGCTTTATGAACTCATGAATTCTATCATAACTTATTGCACCATTGTAGTCTTTAATGAAGTCAGCGAGTGCTTTTTGTTTGTCGCGTAATGTTTTGCAACATCTATATTAGCTTCTGTAAGAAGTTGTTTTATTTCCGAGTGTTCTAACTTAGACAACTTCCGATACATCTTTAGTAGGAAATAAAAAAATATTTTTTGAAAAATTAGATTAGATTTTTTAAGTTATTTTTCAAAATAATTTAATATTTTTATTTTAATGAAACACATGCAAGATTGCAAGTTCTTTTCATACAATGCTCTCGCTACTGCCATCAAGAATGAGTTCAATGGTGCTCAAACGTTAATGTTATCTTTAACAAGAAGTTTGTGAAAGAATCTAAGTTCGGTCAGTATGTCAGACCATTAGCTATTGTCATTGACCGCAAACGTTATACTTCACAAGAGTTAGCAGTAGTTTTGAAACAAAAGGGTTTCTTCGTGAATGTCAAAGATACTCATTATACTGTTATAAAGAACTCCAACATTGACTTCTTCAGTATTGCTAAATCTTTCCGAACAGAAAGAATATAAGAAGGGTGAAAAAATGTGAAATATTATCCTTCATCTCTGAAGACAATAACGAACAAAGATGTTATACAAAAGTTCTTACCAAAGGTTGAAGAAGCTTCTATTGACATTGACGAAGGAAGTGAAATGGTTGAAGAAATTGACCCTGAAGCTATTTAACCAAAAATATATTTTTGGTGAAGAGGTGAGATTTCACCTGTTTTTTCACCTCATTCTCTCTTCGTTAATGTTGTCGTGACTTCTTCGTTAATGTTGTCGTGACTTCATTCTTCCTCTTTGAAGTTATCGAAATATTCTGTTATTTTTTCCTTCAGTAATGGTAAGTCTTCTTTGAAGGTAAGTATTGTGCAACCTTTGATGTCATAGTGTGTTTGAGGAAGAGTATTTTTGACAATTTCTTTTATTTGCTCATTCGGTGTCATTGAAATCGGTAAGTTTTCACGATAGAACCAGTTTCTGTCAGATTTATATATTTTAGCAAGGTCGTAAAAGCTTTTGTTGTTTCTTCTGACTAAATGCAACATAACCATATCTTATCTTCTTCATTCTCCAACTCTTCAGTATAAATCATATACTTATAGTTCTTTTCCTTTCCTTTTGGTACTGAACGCGGTATTCTTTTCTGTATGCTTTTGTCTTTGGATTCAATGACTTCATCTTTTGCTTGAAGTTTCTTTTCCATCTCTCCACGTTCTTGTCTGTGAAGTTCGTCAAGAAGTTTGTAAATATTCCAAGCATAACGTGGTGAAGCCCACATTGCAACTGCATTTACTAAAAGTCTATGAACATAATATCCTCTCAAACCGTTTGGCAATTTTTCACGGTTTTCATAGAGTTTTGGCGACTGGGATTTTTTACCTACTCGCTGTTCTTCACTGTTTTCAGAAAAAAGTACGTCTCGCTGTGCTTCACTTAATAGTTCTATGGTGCTTTGGTTCCTAAACCAGTCTTTAGGAAGCTTAGTATCTGGAGCAAAACAAGCCGTCAAAATACTTTGCATTTGGTACATGTCGTCTTTGACAGAACGAATGAGTCTCAATTGTTTGTTATACTGTATGTATTCGTATTCTTCATTTATGACTTCATGAACGATAGCAGTTGTTGTGTTCTCTAATGTTGACATATCTGTCTTTACATACAGGATAAAAAAATAAATAAAATAAAAACTAACTTTATTTTTTTTGAGATAAACACTATTTCTTCACAACATTAAATTTTATCCTGTATGAAATGACTTTAAAAAGATTATTGACTGACTTCGAATACTATCTCATTGACGCACTGACAGACCCTCAAAACTGTGTTGAAAGTTCTTTAAGCTTTAAGATTGAAGGTACGACGCATTTTGTCTTCACTTACGTATTGAAAGAATATGACCGTTATCATAACGAAGTGAATCAAACACTAATAAAATTTGTAGATAAAAAATTGGTTAACAATGAATATTTTAAACGTGAAGACCCAAACACTGCTGGAGATGATGAAGAATACAGACAAGTTATTGAAAAAAATAACGCAAGATTAGATGCAATAGAAAAGAAGTTTAATGAATGTCTTACAAACACGTATGAATATCTTATGCAGTGGGAAGCCAGATGGAAATAAATTTACGTCAAATATGCAATTTATAAAATCTTATGTCGACAGGCTACGTAGCACAGTGGTCTAAGGTGGTGTTATGGAGGGGTCAGGGTCTGTGGTTCGAACCGCGACAGCGCCGTATTTTCTTATTTTCTTTATTTGTCTTGTTTGTCGTGAATAAAAAGTGTCATAAAAGTGCTCTATCTTCCACGGGAATAAATAAAAAATTTACTTTATTTCTTCTTTATTTCTTTGTTCCCGTGGAAGAAGGGTTTTTGCCGTTTTTTCTCAGCCGAAATCAACGATTTTTTCATTTTTGGAATCCTTAGCAAATGAGGAATCTTTTCTCTCGTGGAAGCTTTGACCAAAAATATAATTTAGGTGAAGAGGTGAGATTTCACCTCTTTTTTCACCTAATTTTTCACCTCTTGAATTTGTCAAGATTTCTTCGTAAATGCTTTGTCAAGATTTCATCGTAAATGCTTTGTCATGACTTCTTCGTAAATGAGTGTAAATGACCAAAAATATAATTTAGGTGAAGAGGTGAGATTTCACCTCTTTTTTCACCTAATTTTTCACCTCTTGAATTTTCGTGAATTTCCTTAAGATAGAAAAAATAAAGTTAGTTTTATTTTTATTTATTTTTTATTTTGTATAAAAGATATGATTTCAACAATCGGCACAACAACAATTCAAGCCGCGAACGGCGGGACTCTGTCCACAACAACTTCACCAAACTCGTTAGTCATGAATCCAACATCTATGTTAGTAGAGATGGAAAGCTTCATTCCTTCTTCATTTACTTTCGAAACAGAAATACAAAAAATTAAGCAGGAACTTTTAACAAGTAATTTAGACTGTAGTGCGAAAGATGAAACAAATGAACAGTATCTTTATGAAATGGAGGACCTCATCGACCATTTACCTAAACTACCTGAAATTCAGCATCAAAAACTAACTATTCCTGAATTCGACGAAATTGAAGTCAAAGCAACTGACTCAGTAGAAATAAAGAAGTTCATACGTAAAGTAAATTATGAATTCCTTGGTTTTCATTGCAACCATAAAGTTATGGACAAAGATTGCGATATGGTATATAAGAATGTTTCTGACATATATAAATCTGAAGAATTTAAGACCTACGACAACTTTGTTTCGTTAGTTGCTGAATGTGTTTGGGAAATAAGAGATAAAGATAGAAGAGGCAAAGTATGGAACAACAACTAAGACCCGCTATGTTTGAGATGAAGAGAGCAATTGACGCTTTAGTTGTTCTAGCAGGTCAAATTTCAATGTATAATGCAAAAATGAACCCACAATGTTCAAAATGTAAAGCAGCAATAAGGAAATATAACTACTCCGTCAAAGAGATAGAAAGAATGCGAAACGACTATGCAGACTTAAAGAAAGAAGCAGAAAAGCCAGCAGAAGATAAAATGGACATGTTAGCATTTCTGAACAAAAACTATCCAATAGTAGAAGATTTCCTTCTATCTGACGTCAAGAAGAAATATAAAGAGACTTTCGGCATTGTTAAAACTTTTGATATCCTCAGCGAAGAAATAGAAGCTACAAAACTGTTTAGGATTTCAAATATACATCGTACAATTCATGTAAAACGCTTGTGAAAAAAAGAGGTGAAAAAACAGGTGAGAAAACAGGTGAAATCTCACCTCTTCACCTAAATTATATTTTTGGTCATTTACACTCATTTACGATGAAATCTTGACAAAGCATTTACGATGAAATCTTGACAAAGTCATGAGGGTGAAAAAACAGGTGAGAAAACAGGTGAAATCTCACCTCTTCACCTAAATTATATTTTTGGTCATTTACACTCATTTACGATGAAATCTTGACAAAGCATTTACGATGAAATCTTGACAAAGCATTTACGAAGAAATCTTGACAAAGTCATGAGGGTGAAAAATTAGGTGAAAAAAGAGGTGAAATCTCACCTCTTCACCTATAATATATTTTTGTCTGATTTACATCCAACGAAAAAGTTTAGAAGAATTTTCTTATTCTTTCTGGCATGTTTTTATCTTTCCAGTACTCCCGCTCTAATGGTCCCAGATGAGTTGGTTTAGATTCTCTCAAGTTCTTAGATGGTATAACATCTTCAACGCCTCCTTCATATCTTACTTTATAAGTGTCATCGTTTATGTTGTAGTCAAGTATTTCAATAACCACTCCTCGCTTTGCTTCGTCAATGGTTTCAGCAAGTTTGCCATTACTACTTTCGACTAATTTATGACGAGGATAAAATGCTATGGAGTCGTCAGCAGCTTTTATAAGATATCCATTACCTTGCGTAGAGTCTACGATATAATAGTTTCGACTTAACCTTAAACGTTTCTTTGTCAACGGTTTGTCGTCAAGAACTACACGAACTTTTGTTCCAGGAATGAGAGTAAATTGTGTTGAATTTCTGATATTTTGTGTTTGACTTCGTTTCTTTTGTATATACTTTTCTTCTTGTTGTTGTGTCATTGAATTTGGTGTATGTCCAGAATTGTAAACTTCGATGAAATGTTTCATTGTTTCTTCGGTAAAGTCTCGCTCTTGATTTAAATCTCTGAGAGTCCTTATGAAGCGGTTAATGATACCGAGTATGTTATGGTTATGGTCTTCAGTAGTGTAGTGAGTTATGTTATGCTTAATGAGAAATTCTGTGATTTCGTTGCTGAGGTATGCACCGTCTTGGTCTGATGTTAAAATACTTGGGCTATGTTCTGCTACAAACTTTTGTAAAACTCTTAACACTTCATGAGTTCCTTTATTTCTCATTATATACGCAAAAGCTTTGCGAGTGTTAACATTAATGAAGATGAGGAATGGTTTATGTCCTCCTTTTCTGCTTTGAATGAGAGTGTCAAATTGGTATGCGTCAGGAGTGTTGGAGTAAATTGGTAAAAAGTAGTCGTAAGGATTTATTTTTGTTTGATGTACAACATTTTTGTCAAAGAACCTTTTCACTTCAGCTCTGTTAGTAAATCCCCAACTCTTTGCAGCTTCATTGAATTTCTTAAAAGACCTCCATGGATGTTGTTCGAATACTTCTTTCAAGCTCATTTATGTAAAGTTAAAGATTTTATTCTAGGCTCAAGCGCGTTCATTGAACGCGGTACCATGCGAATATAGTCACAAATGGTGGCATATAATCTTCACCCGAGCCTGTTGGATTTGTTGTGAAAGTGTGTGAATGATTTCCTGTGGTTCCACAGAAAATACCTGTGCTTAAATCTACTGGGTCACTTGAAATATCATATCTATGCATTCCCTGTCTATCCGAACCTGCTGCAAGATTTGTATAACCTCTTTTTGTTATTGAATGTGAATGACTACCTGTTGTGTTTGTAGTTCCTGTATGAGTGTGCGGTGGAAGGTTTGCTTCTTTAATTTTCTTCGAACCACCTGTTTGCTTTGAAGAGTTCGCACAGTATAAGAATTTATCTACAATCTGTTCCCACGTACCGAAACCCAGAACTGTTGCTGGATTTGTTGAGTTCATTGACGTATAAATAGAACCTATAGGATATAATGTTTGAAGTATTTCTGTCTTTAATGTTTGAAGCTCTGTTTTGTCAGCTTTCTTATCTAACATTGCTGGTAGTTCATATGCTTCAAAGTTTCTGGCATGATCTTCGGTATTCCTGCAACTCTTATCTAAATTGTTAAGAGTATCTTTTACGCTTGTACTTGGATTTTCTAATGGTGCACTTGAACCAAGGTCAAAGTTCAATATTATGTCGTCTGCTCTAACAGTAGTGAAGGATTTATGTGTATGGTTCTTGTCGGCTTTCTTATCATATAAATCTTGAGCAGTGAATTTAACATTATTTTCATCCTCCATGACATAAACATTTCTACATCTAATGTATTTCATCGTCGTTATGTTTTCCTCCGATGTTAAACCTTGTGGAAAGTTAGGAGGTTTCCAATATAATGCATCCCCACCAGTTCCTTCAACCGTTCCTTCAATACTTTCTATACCAACAGTTGTGAAGAAATCATGTGTATGGTTCTTATCTGCTTTCTTATCTAACATTGCTGGTAGTTCATGTGTTTCAAAGTTTCTGACATGACCTTCAATGTTCATACATTTACTATTTAAGGAGTTTAGTGTATCTTTTACGCTTGTACTTGGATTCTCTAAAGGTGCACTTGAACCAAGGTCAAAGTTCAATATTATGTCGTCTGCTCTAACAGTAGTGAAGGATTTATGTGTATGGTTCTTGTCGGCTTTACTGTCTAAAGAAGTTTGAAGTTCATTTATATCGGAGATGTTGTGTTTATGAGATTTCAAAACTTTGTTCGTTGCGTCAAGTTCTGTTTTGTCAGCTTTACTTTTAATAGCATCTTCAAACGTTATTTTTGACTTAACTCTCAAAGTAAATCTTGGTTCAACTAATACACCTTTAACAGAGAAAGTAGAGGCATAAATTTCATCGTTATAACTAAATGCTTCTGGTGCTTTACCCGTGTCATACTGTACAGTACAGCTTATGTCATAACCTTTAGCACGAATGTATTTATATCTTCTTTCATTAACATCTTCCGTCTTCACTTCATCACTTCGTGTTAAATATCCATGGTAGTCTGTTATAATCTGTTCGTCTGAAGTTATATAATGAACGTGGTTTTTATCTGCTTTTTCGGCTAATTTCTCTTCTATCTCATTTATTTCAAGTTCATGCCTACCACCACCTCCCGAAGAAGTATTTTTCTTCAGCTCTTGAAGAACGTCCACTTCGCCATCTTTGGTGTCAATAATGAGACTTTGAGTTAAAACCTTTCCTGTCTTAATGGATGTTTGTAAAACTTCTTCTTCACCGTGTTCGGGGTCATGGTCGTCGTCATATCTTGTGAAATCAGAGATGTTGTCATACATTAAGCATATCTGTCTCAAAAGTTCTGCTATTTGGAATTGGAACGAAAGATATACAGAACTTTCATCATCTCCTAAAGTCAAGTCTGCTTTCTTAAGTATTTCTTGAATGTATGCAATGAGAACAGAGTACCTTGGAAAATATTCGAACAATATTTCATTAGCTGTTGGTTTTGGTGGTTCTTCTGGAGTTTCTGTTGTTTCAGTTCCTTCTGGAGTTTCTGTTGGAGTTTCTGCATCTCTTGACTTCAATGCTCTTGCTCTCAAAGACCTAAATGTTAGAGCACCGGGTTTTACAAAGGACTTTATAAATGCTTTAATAGTTCCTGGTAAGTTATTGTTAGCATTAAGTAAGTTCCTTATGCTTCCATCATGTACGTCCATAGCACTATGTAAAAAATCTATACTTTTCTTGTAGTCAGCAATAGACTGACTGTGATTTTTTAAAGATTTGTCAATACCTTTAAGCCAATCTTCATGCATGTCTGATACTGAGCCAAGAATATCATTTGCTTCCTTTAGTGTATTTTGTGCTTTTCGTAAAGTATCCAATCCCGTACGTGCATTGTTTGCTATACGTCTTACAGTATCTATTTGACTCCTTGTTTCTTGCATCCAACCAGATAAAGTTTTAATAGTATCCGAACCATTTGAAATGAAGTTCAAAGCATTTTTAACATCATCTAAAGCTTCTTCACCAAGTACTGCCCATATCTTTCCGATTTGGTATTGAAGAACTCCATATGAAGCAGCTGTTAAACCAGTATTTATAAGGTCCCATATCCATGATTTAGCAGTTTTTCCATCCTTTCCATCCTTTCCATCCAAACCGTTTTCGCCTTGAGGTCCTTGTATTCCTTGAGGTCCTTGTATTCCTTGAGGTCCTTGTATTCCTTGTGGTCCGGTGTCACCCTTCTCTCCTTTCAGTTCATCTTTATGTTCGTTATAATATTCTAATGTCATAAGGTGTACATCATTACTGCTACCAGCAACTCCTAATATTTGTTTCTCATTCATGACTAAATTCTTTAGGCATTTAATGTTGTCGTCAAATCGAAAGCTCTTTAACAATTCAATGAGAACATTTAATACTTTCACTAATGAGGCATCTACTGTAGAATTTATATATTGCACCGTTCCATCATTTATGATGGGAACCTTGCTTGTTGTAATGAATGGGTCATAAGTGTTAAAAGTATCGAAATCAATGACTTTTTTAGTTTTTCCATCGTCAATGACTAAATCATTGCCTTCAATGGTTAAAGTTGAGTTTTCGTTTACTAGTTCATGTGCTCTTCTTGCTTCATTTGTTTCATACGCATATGCAGCAATAGTCATATTTTAATGAGAATAAAATGTTGTTCTATTTGCAAAGTACTGACCCAAACGAATACGGGACAGTAAAGCTACAAACAAACTTAGGTCTTCAGAATGAAGCGCTTGCTTTCAGAGTTGTTGACTTTAATACTATCGCAACTTTTGTCATAACAGATGAAACAGATTTCATGGAGTTTGAAATAGATGGAAAGAAGCATGAAATAAGATTTCACAATAATGTAGAATATAAGATGGAAACATTAGCTGGAGTGTTAAATGCGCTCATAAATACTACAATAAACAAGGAGAACGAAGAAAACTTAATGAATGTTAAACTTATTGCAGGAGTTTTGAAGTTCAGTTATGCGAAGGAGTTTAAGATAACACGAATGAGTCATAGAGTTCAATTGCTTCTGGGAGCATACCATATGACATTTCCTTTGAAAAGTTGACAAAACGATTGAGATGAAATCTGTTCCATACGTATGTTATGGTAATTGTTTATACATTGAGTCAAAAATAGCTAATGTCACAGGCATTTCAGGAGTTAATAGTAAAGGTTCAGTAGAATATAAGTCTTTCTGTTATGAAGTAAATTCAATGTTCATTCCAAACGTTCCTGTCATAGCAACTCATTTAGGTAAATGGGTTCGCATTAGTCCTCATAATTTGAAAGACATGCAATTCAGACTAGTTGACTTTCAAGGAGAGCCTGTAGAACTGAAGGCACCAGTGCGAATGACTGTTGAAGTAGACTTTTTAGAAAATATTAAATGCAACAGCTTACAAGAGAACTCAGAGCTAAAAATATAAAGTATGAATGTTATGTATTAGGTCATGAACTTTGGTTGTTGCTGTTTGATGAAACAAATGAGTTAGTTATGTCAGTCAAGAGAACAGAAAAAGGCGTCAAAGGCGCCGAGCGCAAAGCGCTATATTGTGTTAGTGAGAACTGCACCAAGTCAATAAGATTAGGTTTGCATTATGAAGATGAGTTCGATACTGTTGAAGAAGTTTTGGACAGATATTACAAATTGCTTTAATTTACTAAAACATATTTCAAACAAAGTTTATATTCTGTTGAAAGTTTTGTATACTCGTTCGAATATTTATACTTAAACTCAACTCCTGGAGTACCTGGTATTTCAATGATGCGGATGTTACCTATTTTCATGAATGGTGGCGTTTGACCACAGCATTCGATTTCAGGGTCGAGATAGTCAATGACACATTGTTTCCCTGTTATTCGTGAGATAACATTTTCTAAATCCTCCTTTGTTAGAATTATTTGGTTCTTGCTTATAAGATTTGTCAAAAGCTTCTTATCGTCTTTGAGTAAAATTGTTTGGTATAACTGAAGAAGGTAATGGTCTACGTTATCTGAAGGATTTGTTTGAACATTTGTGTAAGGGTTGTCGTTGGCTTCTCTTGAAAGAATTTGGTCCAGTGGTGGATACTCTAACTTAACATCTGATGTAGCGTTAGCGTTTGAAGCTGTGTTTAAATTCACGGATTTCAGCTCTGGTTCTGGCTCTTTCAAACACTCTGAACTATAGTTCTTTATGACAATATTGTTTGTCGTTCGTGAGTCAACATTTGATGTTGGTTCAATTGGAACATTAACGGCACCAGCTAAGATGGATTTGCTTCTCATTTCATATAGAATAAAAACCTTTTATATGTATGAAATGAACAATATACTCGACAAGGGTTTGAATGTAAAGCTAACGAATGAAAATATTGTTGAATTCACTGAGACAGGAGCTGTGTATAAAGATGTAGAACTACTGAACAAAAGAGCAAAGGGAAGAAGCAGGAACATGAACAAAGGGTGGAAGCCTATAAAAATTTATGTCAATGATGGCTCAGGAGGTTCAAACATAAAGTATGCAGAAAGTTATAGAGTTTATGCTCTCAAAGGTGAAAAGCCTTCATTTAAGAACAGCTATTCTAACCCATATCCTCAAAAGTTAACGGATGGGGAAGTGGATGATATGAATGACAGCAAAAATATTAACAGAAATGGCGACAGAGATGCATGGAATTTGTTTACCATCAGTCAATTGAAGGTTAAACTTTAAAACAATGTTGGTCGTTCCCATGGAATATTTTTGACTTTAATGGTATTAGTCATGATATGAATCTCAAGGTATGAACGAGGAGAGATGAGAGACTTATATGCTTCCCAAATTTCTTCAAAAGGTAATGTTATACCTGACTGTTTCCAAATGAGTTCAATATCATAGCGTGAGAAACCTTGAAAGATAACGAAGTCAGTTATGAGACGTTTTATGTTTAAAGCTAAA